TCGAGGAGGGTGTAATTAGGTGCAGCACTTCCACCAGAGAGATGCCAGCTGGGCTGTTTAGGAGCATGTTGAGGTCAATTCAGTTCAGAACGAGGAGTTCCTGCTGCTTTCCCTCAGCCAGTTGTACCCAGGTGCCCACGGCTGCAACTGAAAATCCACCCTTTTCAACCAAAATAAAGGAAAGCTAGATTTAAACCAGGACCTTCGAAGTTCCTTGGATCCTAGGTCCTTGGAAGGACCTTATTGCTTCTATGATTGTCTTACAAACTATTCACTGATTCAGATTTGCAGCATTGGGTTGACTAATCCCCATTATATAAACAGATGGATTTATTCATTTTTTACTCTTTAAGATGAAGGGTGGGATTTKCACACGCTGGTAGAGAGATCACAGTTGAGTCATTACGTCTATATGGTAATTATGATCTAATCCACTAATATAGTTGGAAAGACAGAAGGAATAAGAACAGGAACCATTCTCRTTTAAACAAACTCAGTGTCTGCTATGGCAAGAACAGAGAAAAAGTTGGTGGAGGGGGATGAGGATTATTTTCTTTTTCCAGTCAGAACTTAGAGGGTCCACATGACATATATGTTATATTTGCTCTCCAAACAGGAGTCTGGGCCTGAGTGTAACACATCCACATGATAACTAGATCTAGATCTCCCTGTTGCACTAGAAAAACTATTCTTGATTGCACGTGGATATATAGATTGAAATATACTGAGAACTCTGGATACTTAATTAACTTTTTTTTCATTAAATTCAAAAATGAAAGCTTTTTTTTTTTTTTTTTTTTTTTGGTTATTGCAAAATGGAAAGTCAAACCTGTGTTAATTACGCCCTATGTTGAGATTATGCCCCGTGGTTAAGGGAGATGTCTAGCCAAATTAAGAAACATGTATGTATGGGTTAAAAAACTGTTGGGAGCATAAATGCCTGGCCAGTGGTGCAGAAATTTCCTCCAGCTGCTTCTGGGATTTTTTCTCCATCTGATCCCCACTTTCCTTCATTTACATTATTGCAGTGGCCTCCACTGAAGAAGTTCAATCTCTCTGGGAGCTGCCTCCTGTTTTTACAGTGAGCGTGCCCGATTTTGACAATAATCTGCAAATCCAAGGTCATCCGGTGGGTTTTCCAGATTAAAGCAGAGGAGATGACGAGCACATCAGAAAATGTGAGGTAGAGCCAATAAACAGCAGGAGGCATTTCACACGAGGAAAATATGCAGGTAATTATCACTTTAAAGATTTTTACGCTCTCTATTATCTGGATATAATTGACTGAGAAGCAAAATATCATTGCCTGATAAAGTGGCTCTTTGGTTTTATAAAGAGTCCTGACTCTGCGTGGGAACATTCTGTTCAGGTAACTGAAGGCTATAAATACTCATAGGCATGGCTAGGATGAAAAGAGGGAAAATATATATATATAAAGAGAGGTATTAGTTCATATGATCTGACATTTCAGTATCTGCTTTTGGTTGGTTTTGTTTGGTTGAAACTGGGTGAATRCAATGTTTTTCATACCTCTGCATTGAGGTTTATTGTAGTTAAATGCTTATCTCGGTTAAAATTGTAAGAAAGAAATATATATACACACACACATATACATTATATATATATATTTCTAAATATATATAACACATATAAATATATCAGTATTTCTGTGTTGCCCCAAGCTGGAGCTTCACAGCATGGTCTCAAAACTCTAGATGTGGTAGGTTGGTATATGTTTATATACCATAGGGTATATGTTTATATACCATAGGGTATATGTTTATATACTAAGCCGGGTATACAAACCAGGGTTTTATAAATAAAATAAACCTGGGATTATTTATACACCGGGAGAAATCTGGTGCCCGATAACATCTGTGCACTCGCATCGATCAAGTCAGAGCTGTGAGTAGGAAAGACTCTCACACTCGCTAAGGACTGGTTTAAATTCACGTCTTCCCTTAAGTCTAAAAGTTGAGCGCAAAACACATTTGCAGGTCGTATCTGCAAAGCGCACGTAAAGATTAATCAATGTTTTCACCTGTAACGCCTCTTTCTGATCTGCTTACTCTTAAGAAGAAAACTTGTAATCTTAACCGAGCATTTGAGATAAGACAAGCGGTGACTCGACCGCGGCGCGTTTGCAGGGGCGGTAAATCCTGGGAGAACCGGGATGCGCAGGGGAGGCTGCGCAAGTTTAGTGCCTGTTTTAGCGCAGCTTTGCAGGCGAAGCGAAAGAGAGGAGGGCGCAGGTTTAAACCCGGGAGTTTAAAATCACCCCGGGGTGGGGAGGGAGAGGGGGGCGGGCATTGCGGCCGAGGSGGGCAGCCAAGCTCTGGGCTATTTGCAAAGCTTGAAAAGGGGCTGACATGGTTTTTCCTGGCCTTTTTTTTTTTTTCTTTTTTTTTTTTTTCTCTCCGCACAAGGCGCGGGTTAGACGTAATCGGGGAAAATGCGTGTTAGTGCGGGCGGAAACCTCCCCGCTCCCGCCGTGCGTGCACCTTCGCTTCTCCGCAAGGAGGATGCAGGGCAAAGGAGAGAGAACAGGGAGGGAAAAAAAAAATCAATTGCTATTTTTCATCTCTGACAAAGTAATTAAAGCGGAGCTGGCTCGTTATCCGCTCCGCGGGGCTGCGGCGGCTCCGCGGAGCGGGAAAGGAGCTGCGGGAAAGGGAGCACCGGGCAGGGCGAGGGGTCCCGCTACCGAGGGGCAGGGATGTGGGGACGGGCCTCGTTCTCTTTGCTTGAGCACCTCGAGGTGCTCTGAGGGCCATAGACCCTTGGAAGGGCCAGAAGAAACCCAGTAGGAGCTCAGAAAAGTCGCATTAAGACGAGCTCACCGCTGACAGAGATCCACCTTTGGGGGGCTTCGTTTTTGAAAGGAACCGCACCTCAGAAAAGAACAGGAAAAAAAAATATTAGAAAGAGGTAGAACACTCGAAATCCGCGTTTCTGTGTTTCTTTGTGGGGTTTCCCCCCGTGCTCTGGCCTGGAGCCTCTCGATGTGCTCCTTGGAGAGCACCCGCCTCGCGTGTGGTCGGGCTGCGGCACCTTTGGGTCTCGTGCAAGCAAAGGAGATAAAATTCCTCTTTCCGAGAGGTGAAACCTTGATTTCACTTTTCAGTGCTGATCAGAAAGATCGCTGCTTAGACGGGAATGTGAAGGAGGAATTTAGCCATTTTTTGAGGGGGAGGGGGAAAGGTAATCTCTGACAAACCAGAAAAGATTTCAAGGGTCTTTCTGACCAAAATACTCATTGGATTCCTGCCTCGTTGCTTTTAATTTGCTACGTACCTTCAGAGGCACAAGCCGATGGGCAGTGTAACTGCTAAGGACCCGGCTGCATCCCCTGGCTGTAAGCGGGTTGCTCTGCGGCCAGGCTACCTGCCAACAAAGAACCCACACCTGCCCCGATAAATCTTCTTTCTACACTTATACCAGCCCCTTACCCATCAGCAATATCGAAAAATACGGAAAGAAGAGGGTATTTGAAATGAGAAAACCACCGCGATTTGTGAATGAATGTGTATGAAACATATACACACTCACATATATATATATATATATATATATAAAATACACACACACACCTATAAGGCATTCTAATTATTTGTCTAGAAAGAGAAGGTAGGCACACATGTTAGCCTGAATATGTTTTAAATAACGACAGGGAAAAAAAAAAATAGTGTTAGGTCTGTTGTAAAAACGTCCTGAAACTCTGCTGTAAGGCAAAGACRTTTTTCATTCGTGAGACCCAGTTATCTTTTCGTAGAAACCCAAACCAACAAGAACGAAAAGATTTTCTATGTTCTGCTTTGCTAGACTTTTTTTTTTTCTCCTTGCTTTTCGTGATTCTCGCAGATTTCTGCTTCTATCCGCAGTGCCCAGGTGTGACGTGAGGAGCGAGGCTGCGTTACCGCGGGCATCAAGGGGCTGGGTAGAACTATCTGTGTTATTGGATTTATTATTTATTTATTTATTTATTTATTTATGTTAGCCATTGAAACAGGCTTTAGCAAGCCCTAAGCTCAAGGACGTGATAAAAACAGTGTCTGGTCCCACAACAGACGCACACTTCATGTTTCTTATGTTAAAATATYTTGTGTGTATATATATATATATACATAAATATATGTATATATATATGTATATATACGTRTATATATATACAACAACGGGAGAGGCAACAGCACTTTGACACTGAGACAACGGGCAGATTTGCCCAAAGGTTTTTTCTTTCTTAAATGCGAACAACGTTACCCTGTGCCCTATAAATCTGCGGGAAAGCTCTTCCTAGCAAAGCGCGCTTCCGAGAGATCGTTATGGGTGGGTTGTTTCACTGCAAGAATGAGTCCAGTCAAATTAATACCTGACTTTTAATGAGCATTTCCCCCCCACTTCTCGGAGAAAAAGGCTTTGGTGGATGCGGGAAGAACATAGACCTTCATCTTTACTCCCTCCTAATGGTTCTTCAGATAACCTTGATGAATGAAAACTTGATTTATATTGTGCATCAYTTTGGTTTACTTAGAATTGGGGTTCCCTACCGTAAACTACCTTAAAATGAAGATGTTAGCATGGAGTCTGGTGGTACAACTGGTGTCAGTCATAATTAAAATCTTTTTTTTTTTTTTTTGTGCACTATATTCACTTAGCGAAATAATTTATGTATATATATTTATACATTAAGTATCCACTGTGAGTTGCAGAAATTAAACTATAAGCAGCTCCATCGCACAGCGCAATAACGGAGGGAGGAGGTAGAGAGGCACGAGTGGAAGGTTTCTCCCCGCAGCTCTCTCGCTTTGGGTGCAGGAGGACGTGTTTCCCACATGTTGTTCCACCCCCCYACCCCCCCACAGCCCCTATTACCGGGGAGAAAGTTGTGCCGTGCTCTGGCGGGCTTGGTTTAGCAGTCAGCCCCCGCCTGAGTCACCCTGAGCACGCAATGCCGCGCGAGTGACAGCTCGCCAGCGCTCTGGCTCCCGCTCGTCCCTTTAAAATCGGAATCCGGGGGTAATGATTTATCAAACTCTTATTATCACGAAAATGTCAACCGAAGGGCACCTTGCTATGCACTGACGCAAACCCAGTCTTTCCCAAGGAAGTATAGAAAGCTTAGCTCTTGAGTGAGCAAAATCCAGTCTGCCAACTGCCTGTACTGCTGTTTTTACCTCTACCCATCCAATCTGTTGCTATTTAAGGCATGGTAAGTGCTTGCTTTCCTTTCTCGGAAACTTAGAAAAGCTGTCGTGGAGTGGGGGGTGGAGGGGGAGCCGTCGTTAAGCTTGATTTTAAAAATATATATTATTGGTTTTGGGGGTGCGATGTGGTGAGCGCCGGGGGAAGCGGCGCCTGCGGGGGAGCTGCCCATTGCGGGGCTGAAGGAAGGAGCTGCCCATTGCGGGGCTGCCCATTGCGGGGCTGCCCGTTGCGGGGCTGCCCATTGCGGGGCCCCCCGAGCCCTTGTGCCCGGCTCTTCTCCTCGGGACCGCGGCTGGGGAGACACGGGGCTCGGCTGAGGAGGGACCTGCAGCAGGAGCAGCGAAGGGCGCGTTGCGTAGCCCCGTCCCGGATAGGTTCGAAACAAGAGGRCGCGTTTTTAGAGATAACTCGGAATTGATGAAAAAATAAGGGATGGGTCGCCAGCAACTTATTTAACTTAAAAGGGAACGTTTACAAAATTGTATTTTTAGAGTTCTGTGAGTCGAATATATGAGACGGGAGAGAGTAAGGCAGCTACTAATGACTAAAACTCAGCCGTGGGGCTGCGGTTGTTTCCTCTTCTCAGTGTCATGTTTTAGCAGACGACAACCAGCTCAGAAATGCTCACTGGTGCAATTGGTACAATTTCGCTTTTTTTTTTTTTTTTTTTTTTTTTTTTTTTTTTTTTTTTTTTTTTTTTTTTTTTTTTTTTTTTTTTTTTTTAAGCATTTGCAGCTGCCTACAGGGGAGGGAGGAAAAAAAAAAAAAAAAAAAAAAAAGAAAAAGAGTGCCGAGCACCAATGTGCTTTGCTGAATGACAGGAGGGAAATGGGGCGTAAAATTAAAGAATCTTTCTACACTGGCGATTGGGAAGGGAGCATCCTGCAGCCGTGATGTGAAATCTAACGAGGTCTGGCGGCGCAGTGCCGTAGGACCATTTATCTAAAATTCGAATTACGGCGTTGAGGGCATTCTCCCTTACTGTTTTCTCCCCGTGAAAATTCACACTGAAAGAGGAGGCAAGGGGCTTGAGCCAGAGCACCTCGAAATTAACCAGCGCTTTTCTATCCCGATTTCTTAGCGCAAACGTCTTGTGCACGGGAAAATAAATTGGTAAAATCTATGCAAACCTAACATATTGTTGATTTTTTTAAATTATAAAATATGTGACGCTGTTATTTTAGGATTACGCCAGTCAAAGGGATATGAACAAGCAGATTGTCAACAGCCCCGAAACCCTCGCTCCTGGACCAAACGAAGGTGCGGGAGTTGTGAGAATCAACCCTGAAAATGAGCCGCGGAGCGCCCCACCGCAAGCCCCGGCCACGACGCTGCCCAGGCTGCCCCGCTCGCTTTCTAACGACAACAAAACTCTTCCCTCTGAAGAAGCCAAAGCAAACGATCTGGAGAGGACCAAAGTCGGGATCTGCAAGCTCAGCAGCAGCCCGGTGCAAGCCAATTCCCCCCTCCGCAGGGAATCTCTAGAGACCTTTCCGTACCAGCTCGCCCCTGGGGTAGGACCCSCCGGGCAGGCTGCTATCCCTCACTGCAAAATCCCCGCTTTGCAAAGCACGGACGGGGACGCTACTCTGAGCCTTAGCAAGAGCACGCTGGAGCAAAACAACGCCAAAGGCGCCTGGGCGACCTTGAGCCAGAGCACCGTGGTGCTGGGCGCAGATGGCAGCACTTCTGTTCTCCCTGGCAGAGTCGAGGGGGTAAGTTGGCTGCTTATACTTTTTAAGCCCCATCTCTCCATCTCATGGAAGCGAGAAATCCTTGCCACGCAGCACCTGTTTGTGGCTGAAAGTCGAAAAAAAAAATGTAATTCGTGAGCAGCGCCAGAGCAGGTCGGGGCTGGGGTTGTGCGATGCGGGGAGAGGAGGAGAGGATCACAGCTAGGGAGGACTGCTGCTGGCAGTGTAAATAGTGTGAAAGTCTAAAAAAGCCGACGGGGCTCTTGCAGAGCTCGCCCGCGTAACCGAGGCTTTCCGGGCTCGGTGCATGTGCGCGTGTCAAGCTCTGGCGCTTGGATGCCTTGAAGCCTGCAACCAAAAGCAAGGCGAAATCCATCAACCATTCCCCCTCCCTCCGCCCCCGACGGGAGCTGYCAGACCCTGCGAGCGCTGCCCTTGAGCCCCGGGCCCAGGCGGGGGGCGCCCAKAGGAGACCCGGGCAGGTCCCCGGGGCAGAAGCTGCTGCCTGCAGCCCCAGGCCGTTTTGCAACCGCGTTTTTGCCACCGCGCCMGTTTCGCGACCTTTCTTTTCTCCCCGCTTTAGGAAGACGATGCAGGGGATGAAAATAAAGCCCGAGGGAACTGGTCCAGCAAGCTGGATTTCATCCTCTCCATGGTGGGTTATGCGGTGGGGCTGGGCAATGTCTGGAGATTCCCGTACCTGGCCTTTAAGAATGGGGGAGGTATGCCGGCTTTTTCCTGTCTCTCTTCCTGTGGTACCGCACGGGGCCGAGCACAGGGAGGCGGAGAGGGAGGTCCCAGGGCGCCTCCAGCCACCCTTCCTTAAGCTAAAGCCTCKCTGGGCTTTCTATAAAATAACGACAGCCAAAGGCCATAGGGAAGTTGCGGAAAGATGGAATCGGCTCGTGGTAGTTTTCCTAAAAACATCTATTGGCTGGAGAGGGAGGAGTTCGAAGAGGTCAGGGATGAAATCCACCGATTTCCCCCGCCGTACAGTTTAAACGCGGTTGGGTCTGAGCAGGAGGGAAGCCCGAGCCGAAAGACGTGTGTTACTTTGAGAAATTGGGGGAATTTGTTTCCAACCTTGTCACGATCGATTGGGAAAAAAAAAATCATTTGAAATAAAGCAGATTCTGCTCAGTGGAACAGAGGAGGAGAAAAGTTGAGAGAGGAGATGGGTCGTTAATAGATTACAGGAGAAAAAGAAWGGAAAAGAAAGGGAAGGGGGAAAAAAAGAGGAAGGAAAAGAAAGGGAAGGGAGGGGAAAGGAGGGAAAGGGAAGGGAAAGCCAATGGAAGGGAAGGGTAGGGAGAGGGAGAGGAAGGGAACGGAAGGAAAGGAGTTTTCTTTGCAAGAGCCACTCAACGACGGCTGTCGTTAAACTCGTGACACTGATGCGTGCGACAGCCTTGCGCCTCCTGCGGCAGGGAGACACTGCGGACGTTTTTAAATAACAGCCGCACAAGTACCGCGCCAGAGAGAGAGTGATTTACAAAAGGAAGGGTCTTTTAAAAGAAARCAAAGCAAAACAAAAACAATAACAACAAACAAAGCAAAGGAAAAGCAGGCAGGTTGTCTTTTCTTATCTAAATACGAAATTACAAAGGGGATGTTTTAGACACGGAGGATCGATCCGCGCAGTGCCGCAACTCAGGTCGTTCTCTCTCTCCTCTCGCCCTCCCGCCCCAAGGTGCCTTCCTCATCCCCTACTTGATGATGCTGGCCCTAGCGGGGATCCCCATCTTCTTCCTGGAAGTCTCCCTGGGGCAGTTTGCCAGCCAGGGGCCCGTGTCGGTCTGGAAAGCCATCCCCGCCTTGCAAGGTGAGAGGCGCTGCAGGAGGAAGCACTGCGGGTTCCGCGACCCGCGCTCGGGGCAAGATTTTTTTTCCCCTTTTTTCCCCTTTTTCTTTTTTTTTTCCTTCCCCCATCTTCTTTTTTTTTTCCCCCCCTCCCCGTTTTTTTTTCCTTTTTTTTTCCCCCTTTTTTTCCCTTCCTTCTCGGAAACGTACTTTGCAACCACCCCAATCAAAATTATTCTCCGGCAGTGGCCGCGACCCTTCGCCTAGAGCTCACCGGTGCTCCCTTTATCTGTGCAACGATTAACCGTGTTCTTATCTCCCCTTCTCTCTTGTCTGCTTCTTCCCCCCGCAGGCTGTGGCATTGCGATGCTCATCATCTCTGTTCTGATAGCCATATATTACAATATTATCCTGTGCTACACTCTTTTCTATCTTTTTGCATCCTTTGTACCCGTGCTACCTTGGGCTTCCTGTAACAACCCCTGGAACACGCCGGACTGTAAAGATAAAAACAAACTTTTATTAGGTGAGTTTTGGGTTTTTTTTTTTTTTTTTTAGTGAGTTTGTCCTTGCGGAGCCGCCAACTCCCCTTCGCCGCTGCGGAAAACTCACGGAAATCAGTCGTTTATTATTAATCATCGTTCTCATCGAGGCTGAATGTGACTTAAGGCAATACAAAAACAAACGATTTTTTTTTTTATTTTATTTTTTTACGGGCGATCGAAAACGCAGAAAAAAGCTGCAGAGTGAGAAAGAGCAGCACGATCCCCCCCCAGCCCAGCTTCGCTGCAGCCTCCGGGGAGGAGGCCGAGGGGACCCCGCTGAGATGGGGAGTCCGACTAGAGGCTCAGCTCCTGCTGCTTATTTGATGGGTTCAGGGACGTCCTTTTCTCTTTGCAGCCGAGTTCGGGCATCTTCTTAGAGCCCTATTYGCACCAACTTAAAGGCAAGGTATATATGCACGGATATATACCGGCCGCCTAAWTTATTTCACCGGGGATTAACTTTGTGCTTGCCTGAATAAGGTGTTCACCTATGCAGTCTGCTCTCCCTATTTCCTATAACATTTTATTTTTATTTATTTATTTTTTTAAGCTAAAGGGGTGGTGATGGGGCACCTGTGAGAGAGGTTTCAAGGATGAGTGCTCTGAGATGCTTGCAGCTCYTGCAAGAAAGGAGTCACAGCACCTTAATGCAGAACAACAGTTTCAGTGGATCTGCACRGCACAATGCTTTAAATTACCATTTTACCCCCAACCTGGTGTTTTTCCTCTTTGCTTCATTTTCTTCTTAGATTCTTGCATTGTTGGTGATCACCCAAAGATACAGATCAAGAACTCCACTTTCTGTATGAGCGCCTATCCCAACTTGACCATGGTTAACTTCACCAGCCAAGCGAACAAGACCTTTGTCAGCGGAAGTGAAGAATACTTCAAGTAAAATCTTGCTTTGTTCGGAAATGCCAAACTATTTTTCCTTCAAAATCTGCGGGGATTGACACAATATTTAATTATTTGGAAGATACACTACCTAGCTTGTGATGCCTACTTACACGTACAAACCTCAACAGCTAAATTTCTAGAGATGTGTTATTTTTGTTCTTTTGCTTAACACAGCTGGAGTGTTGGCCCAGGCTTGGCATTTTTATGTAATGCTGCAATGCAGATAAATAAAATAATACACGATGTGCTTCACTGGAAGCTTCTAGAGAAAGCACTGAGAGCTATAAAGCAATGCAAAGTCTCTACCATAAGAATTTCCACTGAAATATTGCCTGCAGTTTCTATTGTTATTATTATCATCGTTACTATTATTATTGCTATTAATTTTATTTCTAGGTACTTTGTATTGAAGATTTCAGCAGGAATTGAATATCCTGGTGAGATTAGATGGCCCTTGGCACTGTCTCTTTTCCTAGCATGGGTGATTGTATACGCCTCTCTTGCTAAAGGAATCAAGTCATCAGGAAAAGTAAGAAAACCAGTTGCAACACATTATGCTGCTTTAAGTGAGCCTTGTGCTTGTTTAAGAGAGTAAATCGGTGAAAACTGGTTTCCAAAAATGATTAGATATTACTGAAATGTGCTCTGYACAAATATGGATCAGAGTAACTCAAGGAAACACCCCATGCTTCAAGCAGCAAGGAGAAGTCTGGGAAAGCAGCAGCAAAAGTCACTTAAATTTGAAGCATTTTGGTTGCCCTAAGACTGAGCCCAAGATATAATGGACTTTATGGGTTTGGGGTAAGGGTGTATTGCCTAACATGATAACTCAGCCATGGTGTCCAACCACAAAGAGAGTTCTGCTCTGTGTGAGATAGACAACTAATAAATGTTAAACACACAACCTCATTAAAATAATTATTAGGTCTATCCGGGTATTTCCAGAGCCTTTTTCCATTGGACTTGTAAACATTTCCAATTTCATTGAATTATGTGATTATTAAGAAGTACAAAGCATAGTAAGACCTCTGCAGACTTAGCAAAGAAAATGAATGAGTTAAGAAGAATTATATGAATAAAACAAAACGACTCCCCTAAACTTCAGGGGAAGTTTTTTTCTCTCTCTCTTCTTACAGATCCAAATTTTTGGTAATTTCTTTTTTCCTTTGGTTTGTTCAGGTGGTGTACTTTACAGCTACGTTTCCCTATGTAGTTCTCATTATCCTGCTCATAAGAGGAGTAACCTTGCCAGGAGCTGGAGCTGGAATATGGTACTTCATCACCCCAAAGTGGGAGAAGCTAATTGATGCTATGGTGGGCTTATTATTGCTTTATAACTCTGATAGGGCAAATAAAAAAAAAAAAAAAAAAAAAAAGCTTGTGAATATGATTTAGTTTAATCTAACTCCTGCCAACAGTTCTTATATAGACCAATTGTGATCATTTTCCTAGCTATATTATAAGAAATGAAACCCATTTTTGCATAGTGTTTTCGGAAAACACTATGATCCAGAACTTGAACTTTGCTGATTTCAGCCAGTTTCTAAAAAGCCATTTCTTCTAGTTACCCAATAAAAAAAAATTTAAAAAATCAAAGATCTGCATGGATTTGTGCCTGTGTAGTCATAAATCCACCTGGGGATCATATGCATCTTGTACAGGTCTTGAGCACCTGCGTGTCACTCTTACTGGTCCCTAGGCAGGACTTTAGGTCTGAATTGAAACCTTTGAAATTGAATTGAAATTGAAATTGAACTGAATTGAAAGCTTTGCTCTCTGGACATTTAGCAGGGATTTTTAGCAACATCTCAGGAAATAACTGACTTTACCAATAAATGTCATCAGCTGTCGACAACAGTGTCATATCACACCAGTAATTTGAGAATTGAAGTTGGAAGGAGTTTCCTGGCTGAAATCTGCAGATTTTCRTTTTCCTTCACGTCTTTTGCAAATMGTGGGTGTTTTAAACTTAGAGTGTTAMAACTTTTGTAAGCAGCACAGTAATTTATTTTGCATTAAATATGGTGTTTTGGATCCTGTGTTGTGCAATGAAGGGGGTGAAGACTATTGTCTTTTAGCAAAATGTGGCCTCTTGAATATGTAAGTACCTATTTAACCCTGGGTGTCTGCTTGATAGCATGCAGGTGAGCTTCTGCTTTTAATTTTCTCTGCAATAAAGCATGAATTAATGGTTAATGGTTGTAAACAAGAACAACTTTTAATTTTTTTTAATTTGCACAATTTTAGAAATGTTATCTCTAAATACCTCGAAGACTTTGAAGAACTGTGTATAGGTTACAGAACAAACAATACTTGATTTTTTTTCCCCTATCTAAATAGGCAAAACTTAAGCCGTGTTGCTGAAATACAACTTACAAAGGAAATTTAACCAAATTTCAATGTAGTCTCCTAAGGTGTACCTCAAACAACATGGAGTTTCTTGCTTTTGTTAAGAAGATTAACTATTACTTGAGRCCAATGCTAGCTAAACCATTAATTTTTCTGGATATAGATTATTTTTCCTTTTGATTTGCATTTACTGTGCTCGATGCATTTAAACTGAGGTGCTTCAAACAACTTAGCTCATTGAATATTTGTGCCTTCTCTATATGGCAGAGGATATATTGTATTTTTTAGACTGGCTAAATAAAAATAATACTCTTATGTCTAATTAAATCAATCAGTATTATGTATTACAGGGCAGGATTTTGCTCTGAAGTTATATTTTATTGACATTCATTGTTCTATAGCTCTTTTGAGCTATTTATGTGTTAATTCCCTATAACAGTAATATTTAATAGTGTTATCGATCTTGCCAAAGCTCTTCCCTGAAGCTGATAGTATTTCCTCTCTTCTCCTTTT